CAACAACAACAACAGCAGCAACCACAACAACAACAACAACAACAGCAGCAGCAGCAGCAACCACAACAACAACAACAGCAGCAGCAGCAACCACAACAACAACAACAACAAACACAAACCGTGCAGGTAAGGAACACTCTGTGGCCACAGCTGGCCCACGACCACGTCCCTTGCCGGCTTGCCGACCACGTCCACGCCCCTTGGCGGCCGCCGCACCACGCTCAGCGTTGATCGCACGATTGGAGATTTGCAAAGCATCCTCCCATGGGACGCCCTCTGCCCAGGCTGCGGCCGCAGCGCGATACACCACAGCTTTCAACGCCAAGTCTTTGTACTTCTGCGTCTCTTTCAAATGGTCATCCGGCCGCTTCAGCCTGTCAAGTGTAACTGGCGCTCGGCTTTGGGCACTTAATAGGGGAATGCGGGCATTCAGGACCACCAGATCTACTTCAGAAATTCGTCACGCTTTCCGCCTCAGGGGATTGGGCAGCGGATCCACTGGTGCAGCGGCCAGGGGTCGTAGTTGGATTCTTGGTGGACCACTGGCACCGCCAATTTGGCACCTGCAACTGCAGGCTCGAGCCCAATGATTGCCTGAATCCTCTCAAGTCTGCCGTGCCGTGATTATTTCAGATCTAGTCTGTTACAGTAACAAAAAAAGTGTAATTTATGAGGTGCTTGATGTCGCCAAATCACGCACTCACATCCAGCAGAGGGCTTGGCGGCAACACCCCAGTCACCCACTGCTGCAAGTAGTCCGCAGCTCGCTCAAAGGAGAACTGGTCCCGCAGAATTCGAATGTGCTTCAGGGTGTGCTTGCGATACTCCTCATCAATGGCCTTCTTCTCGGCCAGGACTGTGCACAACAGGGCAGGCGCCATGGATTGGCCTACCTAGTAAGAGAAGCCTTGCATGCCGTATCTCGTGCCTCCAGGAATTCCACGGGGCAATAGTTCCAGAGCCAGGCGCCGCGGATAGTAGCGGAAACACCGCTGGAATGTCTTGTCCGCCATCCAGAACTTTGTCCTCCAAGCAATGCTAAGGAACACTACCAGGATAATCCACAAAAATCATGCACAATACCTTTAACGTCATCCCTTCGATCCATTATAAAACAACCACACCAAATTATATACTGTGGACCTACTAGCGGAAGACAGATGAGACTTCAGTCAGAATGAATGCCTAGTGAAATATGTTGTCAAAAATCACGTTTTAGTGTGATGGGGAACTCGCTTGCCACCCCTTGGGCTGGGCCTCAAGATCACATCATGGGCGTGCGGCGGGACCGTCTTCCAAAAGACATCGGTGATGTCGGCGTCTGTCAAACCCGTTGCACAGCGTCTCTCCAATCGAAAAACGTGTGGGGCGCCAGGTCCTCCGATTCCAGCCAATGAGACGGGCACACCCACCAAGTGGAATCCCTTCCTGCAGATAGACTATTATTTATGATAATTAAGTAGTGCTGAGTGCAACACACTAACAAAAAGTCGTGCTGAGAGGGTGGAGCTGTTGGGGATGTTAGGCAAGCGGCCAATCGCGAGTTTGATCTATCTTCAAACAAACTCGTTGGGCCTCAAATGGACGTGGAACGCTTTGCAGCCAGGAGTGGATCTTGTCCACGTAGTCCTGCGCCGTTTCCACGATTCTGCATCGAACCAGAAACTTTGCAAGTGAGCCATGGAATTGATCAATGTCTTCATGGCTGTGCCCACTACGGAGTGCACTCAGTGTGAAGGACCCTAGGATCCCTGCACTGATTAGACTGGCGGCCCAGCGCAAACAGACATTATTCTTCAGCTCCCTCGATGTATTATCGCACTGGAGGTTGATGTGGCTTTCATCCAACTTCACTCCGCTGTGCGACAATTTTGTCAAAGAGTGGCTCAGCATCTCTATCGAGGTGTTTGCATCCTTCTTCAAGTCCGCGTCTGACACCCCGACGATTACGTGGTACCCGTGGGCTATGCATACCGAAACGTGCAACTTTGGACGAATCCAGGTATCGAAAGCAGCAGCTCGAATTTGTGGGTGCCGAGGTACACTGAACTTGGCTTGATCCATGCCGTCAGCAATAAGGGAGATCTCATTGCCTCGCAGACGGCTCCGTCCACGGCAGGCCCAATACTCATGGCGGTCAAGAAATTGTGCCCTGAGGTGAGCATAGTATAGCTTCTGGGCAGCAGCTCGGGCGTGCAAGTGCTGCCCCAGTTCTTGGATAAGTGCTTTGTGGCGCACGCATTGTGTACATTCCTTGTGCAGGCTGACAGGTCGAAACGTCAAGAACGACCAGTCGCGTTTCCACACCTGCTTTCGGAGTTTTCCCTGGAACTACTTCATAAAGTGCTGTTTCTCATCCGAATCCCACAACCGTTACCCCCCCCCCCACATACTGCCAAGTGCTTGGATAACTTAACATGATCACGATGAAAAAATATGCACGCCTTCCAGAAAGTCGGAAATGCGACAGCCGCGTCCTTCCCAACCTCCATTTTGTACTGCTCAAAGTACTCCAGCATCTGGCCAGGAGGAAGAGACCGCGGCTCGGGGCCGCCGCCCGCAGGGGTTCTTTCCACCGGCACGGTGACAGACCGGAACGTTGACCGCTTCACCTTCTCAGTAGGCTTGCCCTGCCAGGCTGCAGAGGGTCGGGGTGCAAGCAGAAGCCAAGGGCACACAAACACAGAGAGAGACACACACACTTATAGAAATTACGCAGCGCGAAGCGACGGGACGTTTCCAGAAAATGGCCACTGGGGAAACGGATTGCACAGACCAGCGATTCAATCCGAAATCGTTCTGAATGTCAGCGCTAAACTCCAACGACAGTCTGGGTCAACCCGTCCTGTGCCGGGTCCTCAGACTTCTCTCCCGCAGCGACCTGCAAGGCCACAAATTAGATGGGACAACGCAACGCTGCAAGACTTACAACCTGCAGCTTTGGGATGTGACTGTTGGGCCTGCTTCTTCTTCTCCTGCTCCTGGAGTGCCATGGCATATGCATCCAGCTGGAAATTGTATTCCCGGACGTCTGCAGCGACATCGCCCAACTCATCTCGAACGTCAGGCAGTGTCTCTGCCACAGATTCGTAGATTCTGCTTAAGAAGCTTGTGACGTTGGCGACTTTGTCAGAGACAACGACGCCAGCCTTTTTCAAGTACCTGAGGTCGCAGGGAGGCCCGGAGCTGCCAGATCGGACAGCCTTCCACAGTCTGGCTGCTCGCCCCCCACCTAGGTTGCATTGGGTTTCACATGCCCGAAGATTACCAACATCAATTGAAAGACATCAACAAAGCTTTCAACATTCATCGTGCATAGTTAGTAAGTACTTGGCTTATTGTAACATTATTGCTGTTGCTGTTCATTGTCTATGTTAAATGTGTTACTGGATAGTCTTAGTTTGGCTACTATTAATAAATAGTTTATGACTTTTTGTCTATTTTGTACTCACTATTAGTTTTCGAGTAGTAACCAAACCAGGCACCCAAATTCTGAAGCCGCAGCCAGGACCGGAAACAAACAGGCCGGCCGAGGAAGGTCCACTCAGTTGGGCAGTTGTTTTCCACGGCCTTGTCGTGGAACTTCTGCATGGTCTGAAAGACCTCATGTGGCTGCTTGATGGCCAACATCATCAGGGCAACTGGCGAGCTAAATGGAAACACGCCCGGGAGTTTGAAGTTGGAACCGCCCCCACAACAATTCAATCAATGACGACCGCTGTTTAAGTCTGCTTGGCTAGGCACCACCGTGTCCTGATCGAGCTTGTGCAGCCCCTTCCACTTCTGTCTAAACTTCAAGAGTTCCTGGAATGCCGCATGTTGCCGAAAGCAGCTTCTGCAATCTCGCTTGCACTTCTTGTCACATGGTTTCGCGAGCATTTTCTGCAGCACCAGCGGGTCTGCGGAGTCCGGTCTCTTCTTGCGGGGCTTTCTCTTCCTCTTCCTCGAAGCTTGGCATGATGGCCGATCTGCCTCTGGCTCGCTCTCGGTGAGGACGTCAATGTCCTGCATGAAGATGATACCGCCCGGGCCCTGGCCTGGCATCGCTATGGGAAGCCAATCAGTCTTTAAGCAGAAGGGCCTGGTATTCGGCGGGCCTATGCCTCGTCATGGTGCCAGGCTCCACCATCATGTCTCACAGCACCGTGGGCCAAGCTCAAGGCCTGGCTTGTCAGCGGCTGTAGTCTAGTCGCACTCGTACTCATAGCCACAGTCGTAGTAGTTTGTAGTAGTTTGTAGTCGTTTGTAGTAGTAGTAGTAGTAGTAGTAGTAGTAGTAGATATGTAGCAGCAGCAGGAGTACAGTAGTAGTCATGGTAACTAGGGTAGCCATAGCAGCACTACTCGTACTAAGCCAGTACTAGTACTTGTACTTGTACTAGTAGTAGCATTGATAATTGGCACTCCGAGTAGTACTACCAGTACTAAGACTAACCACCTCTTGTTACTGAGACTGTCGGCTGGCCTCCCGCAGAGACAGCTTCTCAGGAAGCAGCGGCCGCACTGTTCGCATCACATGGCACACCGACTGTCCGCATGGTAGTTAGTCACTTAGTGCAGATCTGATATGATACTATACAGGGTAGCTCACGAGAACAGCGTCCAGCCACAGCGTGCGCAAAGAATCGATTCCATGCTGACCGGACCCATGATGAACTACTCTGCATCATAGCAGGCACAGAGTTACAGTAGCACTGAGAGCATCGTCATGATGATGTCATGGCGAACAGCTGGCAGCCATGAGTGCTCCAAACACAGAGGGACTCGGAACCCGGAGACAGCTCGGTCGCGGACTTCTTCATATTGATGGGGCGTTGGGGGCAGGCATCAATCACTGCAAACAAAGATTCATTTAGGTTTTGGCCTGACTCATCCAGAGCATTAGTCGCACACCACAGAGCAGGCGGGTGCCGCTGCCAAGAAACAGAAAGTAATTGAATCCAGCTGCCAGAGCAACGGCCCTTGCTAAGCGACTAGTCTAGTTTGAGTAGGACCTAATAATACTGCACACAGCAGCTGGCAGAGCCGGCAGCAGGCAATTGAGCACCTGACACACACACACACACACCGTTTGCAAGGATCATTTCCCGGCCACACGACATGATCATGACCCTGGCTTGCATAGCCTGGCTGCAGAAGTACAGTAGCCGAATTACGCATTAAATTACCAATCATTGTGCCTCGCGCAACATTCGTGCCAAAATGTTGCCACCCAATGAGGCACACGCCGGCACAGCGATGTTCCCTAAGCAACGAAGCCTTTCCTTGTCCTCAGGAGACTGGCTGGGCACGAGCCATTGCGAAATTGGCACAGCATTGAGAGCATTCCACGTAGGTTGCATGAAAGACTGCAAGGGCTCCAGCTCCATATCCTGCCGTGTTGAAACTAATTTGGTCCAATGGGCAAGGAATAAAAAGCCAGAGCAGCCTTGAAAGGCTGGAACCCATCCAGCACGGCCCAGAGAAAGACACGACGCCGCCTGGCCTCGCAGAATAAAAATGAACAGAAACCTTCTGAGGCTCAGAGGTGCACAGAGCAGCATGCCAAGCTACCAGCATCATTACGACATCTGAACTGAGCCAAGGAGCAGCAAAACCGACGTTGCGGAGAGAAATCTGGGTCCAATACAAAGTCATCCCCCTCTGCCCACATTCCTGCCATGGCAGTGACACTGAGTGAGAACATCAATTGAATGTGGCTGTTGGAGAACTTTCGCTGCTTGGCAGACCAGATACTGTTTTACTTCCTGCATCCAAAGCCTTGCACATACATGTCTGTTCTTGAGAGCAGGTGGCATCGCCCCTGGATCCAGTGAGAAACTGGCAAAACTCCACGGCACAAAACTCCGAAGCTACAGGCGTCAGGAGATCCTCCGGCCGCAGTCAGGCCCGCTTCAAGACGACGTTCTCGGAGAGCGGGACCGGCGCCGAACCTGAGTGGAAACGGGGGGCTCGTCCACGACCCGAATCATCTGCTCGCCAAGCCGGATGACACGTTGATCCAGGGAGATGAACTGCTGTCGCAGCTCGGCCAGAGCCTCCTTCAACACAGCAAGGTCAGCCAACAGCCTCTGGAAGTCAGCAGGAAGCAAGGATCCCGAAGCCGGCCGCGCATCTTCTCCAGGGCCAGAGCCAGGGGTGGCCGGGGCTGACGGATCAGCATCTGCGAAAAGCGCGACCATCCTCTGCTGATGCGCCTGGATGATCTCGGCCAGCTGCTTCTGCTGGTCCCTCAACACCGCCAAAGATCCGGAGCATCGTCTTACGGTCTCGGCGAGGGCCTGCAGACGGCGACTGACAAAGTCCGCTCTGGCCTCCGCGCGCATCTGACCGTTCTCAAGCGCAGTCAGGCGGTCCCAGGCAGCCAGATCAAAGTTCGCAGCCGCCGCCAAAGGGTCCCGGGAGCCGGCGGACTGCAATTCCACAGTCCTTTGTTCCTCCTCGCTGGAGGTTGCCTGTCGGCTATCGACAGCATCCGCCTCCGCCATGACCGGGATCCCTGGATTCAAAATGTTTCGGCCCCCTTGGAACCGATTGGCTTCAGATGCAATCAATGGGTGACATATTATCTCACATGCATTCACAGAATGTCCCATGCAGAAACATGCATGCAAAAGTGGACAACACCCTGGCAGCTGAACAGAGGATGACGGGTTTACAACAATGAGCGAACGACGAATGAGAGAGAAGCTCAACCGTTTTATTATTTGGACTCCCAAAAATACAAAGTTTGAGAAGTTGTGTATCGAGCCAAATTTCCAATGGTTGTTGATAGCACAGCCAGCCAGACGACTGTCAAACTCATACTGAGACTGGATTCATACCACACACCAAGCAACGACTAAGTTTCCCGACGGGTCCTGCACCAAGTAGTGCATGAGTCGCAGCATGTGGGGCTCCGCGGACTGGATGGCCGCACAGTTCTCCAAGTAGAGGAACTGCCGCCTGAAACCGCAAACCCTAAAGTCCTAAACCCCAAACAACCACATTCTGAACACCCACGAATCCCTAAACCCTGCAGCCCGAAACCCTAAACAAATAAAGTGTAAACCCTAAACCCCGCACACACCCAGACCGCCTCTGGGGCTGCAACGTGTCCCAGATTCTGAACACGTGCCGAACGAGGCCCGTTCTGGCATCGCTCATTCCAGCTTGATGTCCAGCCACACTGACGCCCTCGGAATGACAAATGGCAGACTGAACTGCGGTAACAGCAGAGACTCGAGCCCTGCCTGGCAGGGGAAGCCTCCCCCACATCCAACGGCATCTGTGTGTGTGCCATTGTACTGGCACACATCCTCAGAAACCTTCGCCGTGTGGAGCAGGCCGTCCTTCATCCGCGCAAGCAGCACTGAACGTGCAAAGGGATCCTGCTCGACCTAAGATCCCATCATGTGCAGTGCACTCAAGGTTGTCTGTCATGTCTGCAACAGCCCTCCCAATCACAGCTGCGGCCGTGCTGCATACTCGATGGGCCAGAGGAACCTGAGAGACTCAATGCCAAGTCAAGACGAGTTTCCAACTAGTGTCCCTCACTGGATTGGCTGCATCACGAGACTTTGCACGCCCACGCGAACTTTTATTCTTTTCTCAGCGGGCCTTGAAATTCACTTCGGCAAATCTCGGAGCCTCAGATTTCTCGGCCCAATCTCATCTTCGCCGTGGTTGCCCTCCGTGATGGACGCCGCTGCTAGCAGCGGCAGGGGGCCGAGGTCTATCCATTGATTCCTGAAACCAAGCCATCATCACAGCAAAAAACATACCTGGAACCTTAGCACTTTAAGCCCCAAGCCCCTATCCCTAAACGCCAAAGCCTAAACTTTAGGAAACTTTAGGAACTTTAGGGCCAAACTTTAGGGTGTATACGGGTTTCAGGTTAAGCGGAGCGAGGAGCTGGTCCCAGTCCCATTGCCACTGTCTCCTTTTCCAGGATGTCATGACCACGGTGCCAGCTGGGAGCCTGCATGAGGACAGTTATTGTATTATGCAAAACAGCAATGAATCGGCATGATTATTATTATCATTGTTGTTACATTTGACTAACAATGCACCCGCCCGAGCCTGATCCTGTTCACCCCCTTGGTGGACAAGGGAGCCAAGGCTTGTAAGCGCTGCAGCGCCGAGCCATCCGACATGTGAACCTTTCAGTCAGTCGTCTTTCGGTCGCATAACAACAGTCCAACAATCGACTTGAGCAGTAAATGTCAAAGATACAGCAGAGCAGCTGACATCATGCCAAGCGTGCAAAGCACTGCAGAAGTCATTGGGTCGACTGAGGGACAACCCGGTACATTCACTCTCAGGGTGGGGCTTCGACATCCCCAGGTCGAGGCCGGCCACGCCAGAAAACAGGCTGACGACCGGAACCTTGTTGGCCTTCCATGACAGACAGTCAGCAATGATTGGTCCGCCTGCCCGTTAAGATGCCAGCCTTGCTGGCGTGATCCGGGAACATGGCATGGAAGGCCCTGCTGCAGACAGCACCAGGCCGAGGATCCGTCCATCCAGCTGGGAGTCCTCAAGGATAGTTCAACCAACTCACTGCAGCACCAAACGAGCAAGGCTCAGCAAACACATTCAACAGGCATGGCCATGGCGCCAGAAAACCACTCGGCGCAGGGCAGCGCCAAGTAGCGTGATCTTGTATCTGCAGCCTGTGCTTTGTACATCCTCGAGAACTTGATCTGGTTGGCCAGGTCCTCATTTCACATAATGAGAGTGACGAGTGAACTGCTGTGACAATATGTGGTAACCTGCTGCTGAAGCCACTCGAACACCACGGATACTGACCACGTCATCAGCCGCAGCTCTCGTGGTCGCTCCGAAGCAGCCTGAAAGACAGCAATCAAGGAATGAAATTATTGAAAATGCCTGACTGCATGACTGCCAACTGGTTCATTCTGAGCTTCGGATGGAACTCCACGACCGCATAACCGTGAAGCCGCTGAAAACCTTCGCTCCCTTCTTCGTCACGTCAATTGCATTAGGTGGCACTTCCTCAACGGATGGATAAGTCGCACAGACATTAATTTATCTTCCATCCCCCAATCGCACGACGACAGGCGGAGTGTGTTGATTATTATAATGCTGAGTCATCTGAGACACCACCTCCAACTGCAAGTCTGGAGCAGAGTTCAAGTGCACTCGAAAAGCAGCCAACTTTAGCCCCAGCTTGTTTGCCGCCCACGCCATTGCAGACCGTGGCCACGGAGAAGTTTTTGTCTTGAAAGACTTTCGGACTGTTTTGGCAGGAAGATATCCACAGACCTGGTCCAAACCAGCAACTGCTTTCAGTATTATTGTGCTGTACTGCATGTCATGCAACCAACCACACCACCTCGCAACCAACCACACCACCTCAAAGTCGGGCCTCCTTCTTTCGCTGACGAGTAGAACGTGGGGCCTGCCCAGCACGCACTATATTTATAGAGTGTTTGGGCTTTGAGGTAATTATTATGTCGAGTCGAGGTGTTTAGGGTTTTGGGTTCGGCAAAGTGACGTCAGTGCACCTCCTTCTTCCACTGACGAGCAGAATGCGGCGCCTGCCCAACGTGTGATGTTCTACAGTCACGATTAAGTGCTTAAGCGCTGGAATCGTGCCTCCTCCTTTCGCTGATAAGCAGAACGTGGAGCATCCACTGAGTCCTGCCCAGAATGCAAGGATTGTGGTTCAGTTTCGATGGTTGACAAGCCTTACGTCTCAATTTAAGCTGGAATCGTGCCTCTCCCGGAGCATTCACTGAGCCTGTGGCCTGCCCGGAATGCACGGACGCAGGTTGTCTTCGACAAGCACAAGCCCTACTTTAAGAAGTCAACTGCCTGAGAGGTCGCAGCTGAAGGCAATGATGGCTGCATTGGCCTAGTAGTAGCTGGAAATGGCTGGATTTAAAAGTTCAAACTCTTGCTCCTACTAGTAGGGAAGCCGAGGAACTCTGCATCACTGTCGCTGAGGCAGGTGACATCGGCGGGCATGGTTGCACACCGGATTTAACTACAAGTCGTCAGTCTGACTCGCCCGCTAAACAGTAGGACTTAGGGCTTAGGATTTGCCAGGCAAGGGACCGGGAAATGTTCTGATTCTGTGTGGTGTCAGGCAAACTCTTCATTGACTGTGCTGCTGACCTTGAAATTTGGCCAGAACACGGCATTCAACACGTGTGGACTACACAACAGACAGACAGCCTTCCATGCACGCTCCGAGCTTGGCCCTTAAAAGAGCTTATTATGGGAATTGCAGCACAGTAAGAGTGACGCGAGAGAGCTGCAGAGAGAGAGTGAGACAGAGAGCGAGAGGGAGAGGTTTACAGTGCAAACGCATCACGACAGTCTCAGTATCTACCGGAATGCTCTGCTGCACAAACATGCTCAAACCTGCGCTGGCACTGGCACCCTGTCCCCACTGCCGCCTGCACGAATCTATATAGGCCACAGCAAAGACCGGCCCTCGGCCCTCTAAAAACTCCACTCCTCCTGGACTCCTTCAAGAAGAAGATGCCGAAGCGGCCGAAGCATTATTCCCGGCTGCTTTCTGTGCTTGCACTTCTAGCAGCTTTTGCAAAAACAAGCGTCGAGCGCGCCGTACCTGGCGCATGCTCCATCCCATCTGCAAGCCTCGCAGCTCGAGAGTCGTGGCAACCACATCTGCATCATCAGAACTCAGTTCAGGAAGATCTCCGAGACAGACGCTGGCAGCACGCTCTCCCACGGGTCCCACAGCAGCTGCATCAGGCTCCGAAGAAACACGAGCCGAAGCAGGCGGCTGCTGCTGTCCAGCTGACTCCTCCTCTGATGACGACACATCGATGTCGCCAATGTCATCCGGAGTCAAACTCTCCACGAACTGCATGATAATCTTCGTAGCCTTGAGCACAGTCTCCGACGGCTGCCACTCAGACGCCGACATGTGGCTTGCAGGCCGCTTATAATGTGGAGCACCACCGCAGCTGACAAGCAGAAGCGCCGTAAGACAAGCAAAGTCAAAGAAGAGTCGAGGCATGGTCCCGACGGGAATCAGTGGATCAACTTCTACCGGACCCAGCTACCTGCCCTACACAGGGTAAGCGGCCATAAGAGCAATCTGTAACTGTAGCGGACCTCAGACCTCAGACCTCTGCCTCTTAGTCTAAGAAGCGGCCTCTCATCTCAAGTGCTGAAGCCTGAAGCCGGCTGCCTCAAGTTTGAGCCAAAGTGTGCCAAAGTGTGCTATATTGCAAAAGTCTTAAAAAAGGCTTGGCCGACCTGGAAAAAGCAGCTGTCTGCGGATGCTTGCCCTAAACCCTAAACCCTAAATCCTGGGGCCCTTTAAAACTTAAGGAATTCACAAGCCTAAGGGTGCCCTGTGGCATCCTTTGTCCTCATCCCTCGCTCTGTCTCCCCCTCCCTCACACACACACACACTCTCTCTCTCTCTACCTCTCTCTCTCTCTCTGCCTCTCTCTGCCTCTCTCTCTCTCTTCTCTCTCTCTCTCTCTCTCTCTCTCTCTCTTTCTCTCTCACTCGCTCTTCTTCAGCTCTCGCTCTCTTTCTGTTTTTTCTCCCCTGCTGGGCTGCGGCGGCGAGTTGCCACCTCTCGACTCGAGACAGTGCTATGCTAGCTGCTCATTGATTGTTGCAGCACCGTAATGATGTAAACATGTGAAGTTTGTAGAACCCCCGATTCATTTGGAACCCCCAATTACCAGGAAAATTCTTTAGATGTGATAGGGCATCGTCCACTCGGACGGCGACAGCGTCCAGAAGAATTGCGGGAATCCGACCTGCCGCACCAGATCCACGAGTCCCAGCTGCACCCGCCGCCAGTACACCGGGCTCCAAGACGAGCCCGCCATCATGAGGCGCATTGGCACGTTATAGCCCAGGTTGCGCTTGGAGCCCAAATCTGTCCAGAGGTGTAGATCATAAACGTACTGGAGGATTTCGAAGTGCTCAGTGAAGCCTAACAGCAAGCCCAGGGAGAGGCAAGCAAACAGCCTCTTGACGCTGCGCCGCACCAGATCATCCTCTTCTTCCCTGGCTTCGTCCTCGTCCTCGTCGGACACGGCCTCCGGCTCCTGTGCATTTCTTCTCGGAAACATGGCCTCTTCGAGAGTTTCCGTTCGCTGTCGCCGAGGGTCCGATGCGCGTTCATGGGAGAAAGTCAAGTCCGTGCGCCAGAAGAGGCACGGCCAGATGGCGCACTCCACGCCTTCGCGCTCGATGAATTGCAAGCGCCGCCGGCGGAGCGTTTGGTCCGCGTCCGGATGCGCCTGCACAAATTCCTGGTGCTCGGCATCGAAGACTCGATAAGCAGAGGCTTCACTCATGCGCAGGTACTTGTAGGCGGCCTTCGCACGCTTCC